ATTTATTTGGGAAAAATATGTAAGTTCTTTCCCATTACTAAAAATTACTAATTTCTTGTTTTACATTCTAGGTAGCATGTGGTATTTTATTGTCTTACTGGGTTTTTAGACCGAGAGAGGGTAAGTGGTTGATCTATAGAATTTTAGAGCATTTTGTAGGTTTGTCACTTCTGTGACTTTGCAACACTAGCTAGTCTTCCAAGGAAACAGAATTGTGCCATTTTCATAATGTCATATGAGCTCTGGGGTAGCCCTGACGGTGTCCCCACTTATACCATAAGATGAGATTATAAGTGACATGTGAAGGGAGATTTTATTATTATTTTGTGTTATTATACTATAAGTTCTGGGATACATATGCAGAATGTACAGATTTGTTACACAGCTCTACATGTGCCATGGGGGTTTGCTGCACCTATCAACCTGCCATCTAAGTGGGAGATTTTAAAATTCTATCTTCCTTTGAGGCATTTGGCATTTTCCATGTTTGTTTTGTTACATTTTGAAATTCTTATAAGGCTCTGAAATCTCCTAATGTGATACTTTCCTTGGTACAAATGATTATATGTGGAAAGCGCTGTTCCATAGAGAATCAGCCCTTACCTTGGTTTGTGCTCTAATTGCAGTGCCCTTATTTGGGTCAACCCAGTATGCTTTATGCATCATCTGAAGTTAAATGATGCATCCTGGAAATTCTAACAAAGGAAGATCTCTCTTCTGTTCAAATATAGATTGACTGATGTCAACCTGCCTCAAGTGTGTTACTTAAAAAGCAAGGTGCAAAGAGAACAGCTGTCAGGGTGAGAAGTCTAAACACATTTTTGAAAGTAGCCTGGTGCTGACAAAATGCATTTAATCATGCCCAAGACTTCATGAAATTGAGTTCATTAAATTAGGATTTTAAATCATTATGGCTAAGCAAAACATGTGTATCTAAATATTAAATAAAACAAAATGTAAAGATATCTAAGATGTTAAGATTTTAGTAAAATAAGTTAATGAAAAAGAAAGTCAGGGTCTGGGAAGTATGAATATTTAGGACTACTAAACTGTAGGATTATAAGAGTGGGTATTGACAGCCACTCAAGAAATACACATTTTCAAGCACCAAGGTTGTCCCTGTCAAATGAGTCTGGGCTTTCTGTTTTCTCAGGCAGATCTGAAGGTGATAGATTGCCTAACACCTTCTGTGATTCTTCCTGTGATCTTTGTGTCTGGGTGCATATTTAGTGGAAAAAACCTCTGAATAAATCCGTCCTGAATTCCAGATGGCCCTGCTATGATCCTGCAAAGGTCATCCTGATCCCAGGATTAGAGAGGGCCACTGCCCATGTGCACAGAAATGCTGCCACAAACACGTAGTGTCAGAGGAGGATGAGTTTCAGATCAGGGTCTGTCCTTGAATTACAACAAAGGGCTGTAAGGCAAACCAAGACCCTAGATGTCCTTTCTTCCCAAACCTAGCATTTCTTTAAAAAGGAACTGTACTACTTTAAAAAAATATATATCTTATTCTCTATTTGCACATTCTATTTAGAGGAATATTTTTTGGAATATTTGCCGAGTCAGCCTTGATGTTAAGGGTTAAATTTTATATAGAGAATATAATACTGATGCAAAGGAAAAAAGAGTTCAGCTATAATTTCTAAAATCTGAGCTCGTCGTAGCTTAAATTCATCTCAGATACTCTGTTATCTAAGCAACAATGTGTTTGGTATGAAAACCAGTTTTGCATGTTCAGCCTAAGTTACATGCTGCTGAATGGAACCTTTCAGAGAAGGAAAGGAAACCAGAAGTGTGGCTTTTAGTTCTTAGTTTCCTTGAGCCAAAACCTCCTCCTACAGTTTTTCTAAATATTTGTTTAACTCTGTTAAAGTTTATTCATTATTTTGCAAATACACTAAATACGTGAAGCTGTTTCAATTTTTAGCTGGTACTAAAAAAGTTAGAACCAAATTTTTCCATAGTATTTCATAGGAGAAAAACACTTTCAGTCATTGTGATTGTACAGACGTGATCATTCACATGTGAATTGTTTTTTATTAGAGATGACAATAAAGTTAAAACCCAGCTTTTCCGGGGACCTGGACAAGTGGGGGGATTGGTATAAAGTTTAGCTCTATATTTGGTATGTTTGGGGCTAACATAATTTTTAGACCAGGCTTTCTATGCCAAATGAAATTATAATATGTGTTAGTGAATGTGTTTTAAATAAGTTTAAGGGAGCAACCCACCCTTTCCCCAATACCTCCACTCCACAAGAAGAGGAGAGGGAGAGAAGGGAACGGGGCTTGTCACATTGATGCTTTTCTTAAAAATGTCATAACTGAGCAATTGTAGTCATTGGAATACCTCTTGAAAATATGAGAAAGGGGAAAATCAAACTCCTCTGCCATGTGCCAGGCCGCTTCTCATCCCTCTCCTTAGGAAAACCAGCTTTTGGAATTCATTTTCAAATGAGGATTTGAGGCCTGTGAGTTAAAATATATGTCAAAGAATGGACTTTGACATCCCTTGGAGGGTGAAACCACTTTGCTTACTTTTAGGATCTTGCTTTTCATAGGTCGTGGAGTCCTAACTTGACAAGTAGCCTTAATAGGTTAAGCTGACTTGAATTGGACTTTGAAGTCAAGGTCCTTGAACTGAAGGAAGTTCTATTCTTGCCTTAGAGCTTTTAATGATTTTCTCCTGACTGGTATTCTTATCAGTGATTGCTAGAGGGTTCTCAGTAGACTACTAAGAATTACTGAATTAAAGAAAGGAAGAAAACAGAGTTAGACAGTCACAGAAGATCATTTGAAGAAGATTGTTGCTCTGAAATCGGCAAAAATGGTTTAATTAGGCATGTTGACCGTCTGTGTAAATGACTTTTACAGATGATTTATGTTAGCTACATTTTTTTTAACATGTAATTCCTGTTTTTTTCTCCCTAAGCTGTTGGATCTCAGATAAAACTGAAATTTTTGTTATTGTGGTAAATACATATAGCATAAAAGCTATCATTTTAACCATTCGTAAGCTTGTAGTTCAGTGGCAGTAAGTACGTTCATATTGTTATACAACCATTGCCACCATGCATTTCCATAACTTTTTATCTTCTGTAACCATTAAGCAATAACTCTTCATTCCCCTCTTCCCGTGGCGACCTCTACTCCACTTTCTATATGAAAACTATTCTGAGTACCCCATATAGGTGAAATTGTATAGTAGCTATCCTTTTGTAACTGGCTTATTTACTGAGCATAATGTCTTCAAGGTTCATACACGTTGTTACAGGCTGGTTGTGAACTCCCGGGCTCAATCAGTTCTCCCACCTCTGCCTCCCAAAATGCTGGGATTACAGGCATGAACCACCGCGCCCAGCCATGAATTTTCTTCTTTAAGATTGGATAATATTTCATTGTATGTATATGTCACATTTTGTTTATCCATTCATCCATTGGTGGACACTTGAGTTGCTTCCACTTTTTAGCTATTGTGAATAATGCTATGAGCGTGGGTGTATAAATATCTGTTCCCTGTTTTTAGTTCGTAAGCATATACCCAAGAGTGGAATTACTGGGTTGGATGGTAGTTCTATGTTTAATTTTTTGAGGGACCACCATATTGTTTTCCACAAAACAAAAATGGCTGCACCATTTCATATTCCCACTATCTTATTAACATTTTTATTTGGCTGTTTGAAGTAGCACTCTTCAGTCTTCTAGTACTCTTCTACTTCTCTGTAGTCAGAGAAATAGTCAAGATATACTTTCACTTGAAATTTATTTAAATGCAAATGAAAGATTGTGAGATGACAGAAGAGGGATTTGGTAGAAAGAACAGGCATTGCTAATATTTCAATGAGTTTAGAACAACCATTTCCATGTTCGTATCTTCTGTTTTTTTCTTTTCTTTTCTTTTTTTTTTTTTTTTGGAGACGGAGTCTCTCTTTGTCACCCAGGGTGGACTGCTGTGGTATGATCTCAGCTCACTGCAACTTCCGCCTCTCTTGGTTTCTCATGCCTCAGCCTCTCAAGTAGCTGGGATTACAGGCATTGGCCACCGTGCTCGGCTAATTTTTTTGTATTTCAAGTAGAGTCAGGGTTTCTCCATGTTGGCCAGGCTGGTTTCACACTTCTGGGCTCAAGTGATACGCCTGCCTCAGCCTCTCAAAGTGCTGGGATTACAGGCGTGAGCCACCACGACTGACCTCAATTCTGTTTTTAACTGTGTATGTACACATTTCCTGTAGTTGCAGTTATAGCATAGAAGGTCTTAAATTCTTTTTTACTTAGGCCTTTTCTGTTTCACCATTATGTTTATTATTTTTGTAGATGACAACATAATACATTTCGTCTTAATATACCATGTAGCCATTATGTTTTCCGGAGGTTGCTTTTCTTTGGTGTATTTAAATAATGTTACCATTGGCCTCTTGACAGAACTGTTTCTGTTGGATGATTTCCTTAGGATAAAATCTCGGTAGTAGAGCAGACTGATGGGACAAAGTCAATTAATGACTCATGCTTTGTGTTTCTCCAATGCTTTTAAAAGGGGGACTTATTTTCCTTACAGCTGTAACATTTGATTTCCTGAATATTTATTTATATTTAAAAAGTATTTGTATGTGTTAAGATGTTTTGCCATTCAATACATTTTAAGAAGTTAATCTTATTTCATGTCAGCCCAATGAAAAAAATACTTTGCTATACTATAGGAGAAACTTGAATCACTTAGAAGTTGTCATTTAAAATACTTGTTTATGGAAGGGAAACCTCTTTTTCCTCTTGTTATCCCTCAGAGAGCTTTTTAAATGGAATGTGTTACCTTTTTCAGCACGTGTAGGTTATCTACTTGTGAGAAGGGAGCTGATTAACCTGTGATACTTTTGCTGAAGATTTGTATGTCATTAAATCAGCAGTATATGCTCAGCACCTACTAATCATAGTAGTCACTATGAGAGATAGAAAAGATTGAAAATATATCCCTGGAAAAATTAATAATGCCAAAAGATCTGTTCAAAAAAGGATCTCTCCAAAAAAGTTAATCAAGACAAGCAACAGATACTGCAAAGCATTATATAAAGCACCATAGTCCAGGGGCCAAAGAAATCAGTAGGGTCTGGGCAGTAGAGGAATTCCATATCTTAATGAATGTGAGATTAAGTATATAGTGAAGAAATTAACACACAATTCTAATTTCTGTTAGGCAGAATGCTCCCCTACCCCGATGCCACCGCCTTTCACGTTTCCTAAACCCTAGTGACCTCTGATCTCCATCTGCCTCATCAACACGTCACCACCCTTTGCTCTTCGTCCAGTTAGTCACATGTTGGCTGAATTTATTTCACTCCAGTACTTTAGGACCTTGACAGACAAACGATTACAAGGCCAATTCCCAGCATTTCTTTAGGGTGTGTTCAGGGGTGCAGATGTTCTTTGGATGACCTTTCTACTAAATTAGACTTCTGAAGGAGAAAGCTACCCTGAGAGAGGCTTTCCCTGAGAGCATTAAGTGGGGCAAAATCTGACTAAAATTTAATTACTAAATGAAAATGTGTACATTAGAGTTCCTGGCCAGAGTTGATTCTAGGTAGTGACATGATTTTCTTGGGATGTTTTTCTAAATATTCTTTTATGCTAAAGCACATGGCTTGATACTCCTGTTGATTAAGCTCAGGTCTACTTATAGTCATCTACTGAGAACCTGTGGAGTGGTGAGATAACTTGGTCTTTGGTCTTCATCATTTGAAATAGTTTTGGTTTTGTCTTGTCCCTTCCTTGAGCATTTTGTGTGTGTTTAATCCTATTTGGTAAACGAACCACTGTGAAAGACCAAGTTGGAAAAAACAGAACACCCCCAAAAGGATTTATTTTTTTCAGAAAATCATGGCTCACTATGGTAGTATACAATGTTGTTTTCACACATGTACACTTGAAACCAGATTTCTAAAACTTGTTTTTCTTAAAAAATAGTTGTTGTAACATTAAACCATAACCTAATCAGTGTGCTCACTATGCTTCCACACTTGCCAGTCTTCTCACACTTCTTCTGGTTTCAAGTCTCAAGGCCTGACATAGACAGAAGGGCTTGCAGATTTTTTTCTTTACAATTCGGTCTTCAGCAACTTGAGAGCTTTCTTCATGTTGTCAAGCACTAATGGGGGATAAAAGCAGGAGAGTCAAGACACCGTCATACATTATATCGATATAATAAACCCCAAAGTTGGATACTTAATTCATTATTTAATGGGGTGCTTTTTTTGTGAGACAAGGTCTCACTCCTGCTCAGGCTGGCGTGCAGTGGCGCAATCTCCGCTCAGTGCAACCTCTGCCTCCTGGGTTCAAGTGATTCTTTAGCCTTAGCCTCCTGAGTAGCTGGGATTAGAGGTGTGCTCCACCATGCCCAGCTAATTTTTGTATTTTTCGGACAGACGGGGTTTTGATATGTTGGCCAGGCTGGTCTCGAACTCCTGAGGTCAAGTGATCCACACACCTTGACCTCCCAAAGTGCTGGGATTACAGGCGTGAGCCACTGTGCCCAGCCTGATAGGATGCTTTTTAATCATGAGGTGAATAATTGGTAATCTTATTGTAATTTAAAAACATTATATGAAATGGCTTTTGTGACAATCTAGTTTTCTACTGTATTCATTCCTTCCCAGATCCTTCATCTCCAATCCTCACTTCCAAAATATTCCTTTTATAAGCTCTATCAGCAGAAAATAATTTTGGCTCATTTAGAAGTAAATTTAAACCACGTTTAAAAGAAATGTCTATTAGTAGGTGTGTGCACCTACTGTAAGTTGTTTTAGAAGTAGGGGAAATATAAATAATAGCAAATCAAGTGCTTTATGCACATGAATTATTTAATCCTCATACAAACATGATTCGAACTTTACGTATACATAATGAAACAGGCTGAGAGAGGCTGAGTAGCTTGCTGAAGGTCACACAGCTAACAAATAATGGAGCTACTGTTCCAGAGCCCAAACTCTGGGTCACTGTTTCTTCAACAGCAATTCATCAGAATGAGGTATGTGATCTACTAAAAATAAGATGTCCACGCGACAGGCACTGAACAGCTGCTTATTCACTCCTCCTACAAATATTTATTAAGTGTCTGTTCTACAAGGCATTGTGATATTACCTGTGTAGGACATCTGCCTTTAAAGAGCTTAGTCTTATTAAAATGTATGGTATTATCTCAAGAATGGCTGACACTACTTGGAATGTGCTTCCCCTGGTCCAGCACACACTGGAAACGTTGCTAATGGACCACGATGATCTCTCCTGTTTCCTAGACATGGCCTCATTTCTCTTCACAAGATGACGTTCTAAGTCAGCACTGGCTAATAGAAATTCCTGTGATGATGGAAATGTTCAGTGTCTGGGCATTGAGCACTTGGAATGTGGCTAGTGTGGAGAAATGAATTTCTAACTTTAACTTAAATAGCAACATGTGGTGAATGGTTAACATATTGGACAGTGCAGTTCTAGGCAGCCACTACTAATTGATCAGAGTTGGTTCCTAGGATAAAACCCACTTTTCTTCCCAGAGGACTAATCAGATGTCACAGCTAGCTACAGCCTTGCATTGAGGTACCTCATCTGCCTTAAGTCAGTCTCTCTCTCTCTCTTCCATTCATGGCAACCACAGGGAAGGTGATTTTCTTGGCAATCATGTGGATCATCTTTCCTACTGATCTTTACATTGAACCTGAATTTAATTTTAAGCTGGACCGCACATTCTTTCACTTTTGTTATTTAAAAAATTAAGACATGCAGATTATTACAATTATTACACACAGTTCTGTGATAGAAGGAGTGTGTGCTAGTGTACCTAACAAAAAACCTGAAAATCAGGTAATGTGGTCATAGAATCCTCCTAGAGAAAAAGATACCTAATCTAAATAATTCATCTTCAATTGAGATTAAAAACAAACAAACCTGAGATGGAAAGAGAGTGTGATTTGCCTGAGGATGCAAGGCTAGTTAGGGTCAAACTGAGTCTGAGGCGTCCCTAAGCCTAGCTCTCTCTCACCTCACCATGCAGCCTCTAGTCCCATCACTACAGCAATAGAAGTGTTCAACTCTTGGGCAACATCCAAATTGAAGGTAACACTTACACAGAGCTGTATCTGCAGGTTCGTAAGCATAGAGACGATTTGAATATCTTCCAGTGATATCGGCTCTAACTGTCAGAGATGGGTCTGCAAAGATAAACGAAGCAAAAGGGAATGGAATGGTTTGTTTTCAAAAAACCTCTGTTTAATGCCACGGGGTGCTGCAGTTCACGTATTCTTGGCCCGTGAAGGAATGAGGTGTGTCTGCACTCACAGGAGCTCTGATACATCCACTCTACTACCCAGCCCCTGGCAGTTAGTAGCAAATGCAGGGCTGCAAACATCAACAGCTGTGCAGTGCTATTTGTGGAAAATGTTATGAACCCTTCTGTTCTATGTATGGCAACCTGAAAACAGAATAATATATATTTAGGGGTTACATGGTGTTTTTTTTTGGTGGAAACATTAACATTCTGTACTGCAAAATTATTTTAAATTCTTGAAATGATTATGTTGTAGTTTACATGTTTCTAGATCATTGGAAACCCACATCCAGTGCTAGTTTTCGAAAGTTTTTTTTTTAATTAATAGAGGAATACAAGTCCTTAATAGCAAAGTTCAAATAAGCATATAGTACCTTCACTATATTTTACTTTATTGTTAATTAACTGCATTTTTAAAAGTAGAGATTGGTCTTCTCTTATGTGTACATATATCCCTCTAAATTTAAATCCATCTTGCCATGTTTTATATTTAACTTGAAGTGATCTAATTAATGAGAAAAAGGGGTATTTTAAAATTACGGTGCATCCGAAAGGGAAGCGTGAGGATACAGAGAGATCTGGAAACCTTGCCTTGAGAGACGTAATCGAAAGAACCTAGGACACGTGCCCTGAAAACGAGACAAGGAGGACATGTGAGAACCATCTGCATGTTTGCAGAGTCTGTCGCTGGTACTGGAGTGGGCAATCTGTCATTTCAGAATGTTGGACTAAGGCCAGACACATAAATTACAAGAAACAGATGTACATTTATTCACCAGATTTGAGACCGACTATACTTCTGTTTGGTGCAGAGGATACAAAGACACGGTCTAATCTTTGTAAGAAATTAACCTAAGAAGGGCCTTTTAAATACCCAACTAGCAGCTTACAACCCTGGCTGCACATTGGAATCATCTGGAGAACTGTAAACACTACGGATGCCTGCGTCCCACCCCCAGAGATTCTGACTTAATTGGTTTGAGGTGTGGCCTGGTCAACTTGATCTTTAAAATCCTCCAGGTGATTCAAACATGTAGTCAGGGTGGCTGCTGCGGAGCTAGAAGAGCAAGCTGCCTTGGAGCTGGTTCTTAGGACTGAAGGAATTGAATGTGGGTTAAAATGCCCTTCCACAGGGATGCTGTAAAAAGAATTCCTGTACAAGGTATGACCGGACAATCTATAAATTCCTTTTCACTGTTAGGATGCCAAATGTTCTAAATTCTAACAAAACTAAACCTATAAAATTAGTGCTTTAGTTCAGCCTTCCTTTTTTCTGTCTCTCGTTTTTCTTTGCCCTGCTTTATACATTCAGTGTAAACTTTAATGAATTACACAGGTGAATCATATGATTAGCATGAATTCTTGTGAGTGATAGATTTCATTATGGATTGTCCTTAAGTCAGTATGACTTTGAACAAAGCCAAACTCAGTACAATCATCGAGTAATTCAACACATACTGATGGAGAGCCTACTGCAGGGTCATGTTGGGAATAGCATGGTGAGCAGAAATAGGTACAGTCCCTGCCATAGGGGCTTATAGTCCATGGTGGGATTTATTACATAACCACCCCCAAAATGCAAAATTATACCTGACGAAAGTATGACTAAAAAGAGAGACATGGTGCCACAAGAGCATGTAGTAGGGATTTGACCGGGTCGATGAATGATGATGATTGGGGAGTTAATGATGTGAAATTGGGGGACAGAGAAGGAAGTGGGAAAACCACATGAAAAAAGTACCAGTGGCAGGAAGGAGCATGTGGCTCCTTTCATTTCTTTTTCCCACTTCATATTCCCTTTTTTTTTTTTTTTTTTTTGAGACAGAGTCTCGCTCTGTCGCGCAGGCTGCATTGCAGTGGTGCTATCTCGGCTCACTGCAACCTCCACCTCCCGGGTTCAAGCAATTCTTGTGCCTCAGCCTCCCAGGTAGCTGGAGTTACAGGCTCCTGCAACCACGCCTGGCTAATTTTTTTGTATTTTTAGTAGAGATAGGGTTTCACCATGTTGGCCAGGTGGTTTCAAACTCCTGACCTCAAGTGATGTGCCGGGCTCAGCCTCCCAAAGTGCTAGGATTACAGGCGTGAGCCACCCAGCCTTATTCCTAACTTTCTTCAAAATAATAAAAAATGTCAGAAAAATCTAATACACAAAGTGAAAGTTTGCTGGATTAAAAAATAAATATTTGCAGGCCTCTTGTATTCAGGAACTGTATCAATATGTTTAAATAGCGAATAGGGTGCTTTGTTATCAGATGTATTATAGCAGAAGATGAAAAGTTACAATTAGCACGTGAGAAAAGAAAGTGTTGTGTGGAAATAGGTAAAAGCTCACATTTTCTAAAGAAAATATGTTGTGGAACTTCAAGGAATGTCATACTCCTTGCTAGAGCTTAGTGATGACATGAGCCATGGCAAAGTGGCAAGGGACAGTGGGGAGGAGAGAAGATGGCAGCACTAGTATGAGCTTCCGAGTTATCTCATTGTACTTCCACTTACCAACAAACATAATCCTGGGGACATACTGGCCATCAGGAGAAAGGTGTTTGTCAGTTGTTTCATACTAAGATAAAAAGAAAAACGTCTTTTAGTTTACTTTTACTTTTCAGTCATTTTCAAACTTGTTAATACAATAATCCGTCCATTTCTGGCCAGGCATCTTACGATATCATAAGGTACCTCTCTTCCACAAAGAGTTTATTGTATAGATGAGGAGACAAGTTGCAAGCACGAAATAATAAATAAGATAGAGAACAACATGAGATAAAGTGCTGAATGGATGTGATACAGAGCAAAAAAATTAAGGGAGAATTTGGAAGGAGTTATTGTGTTTGCGGAAGACATCTTGGATGAAATAAGAGGCTATTAAGGAAAAAAGCAGATGTAATTTCTAGAGAAATTGCAGAGACAAATACAGGGTTTTCTTGAGTATTCATTTATCCATTTACCAATTTTTATTTAGAACTGTATTTAGCAAGGCACAGTGCTAATCTTTAATGAATGCACATTCTATTGAGAGATACAGGTAGGAAAATGAATATTGAGGACTCAGTGGGTGAAATGTTATGGTGTAGGATATGGAGGTTTGGTGGTTGCCTTGAGGAAGACATTTAGCCCAGAATGCAGATTCCACCCCGACTAGGACTTTCTGAAGTGGATAAGGAGGGATCTTTAAAAATGAAGAGGAGTCAGTTATGTGGAAAAGAAAGACACTTCATGCAGGAGGAAGAGTATGGAGAGGACAGGTGGAGCATTTTCTCCTATGGCCAAGTGCTGGGGAAGGACTGAGTTGGGGGAATGCACAAGGGCCAGTGGCGAGAAAAGGCGCTAGAGCTGCTTCAGGGGCCAGCTTAGGAATGACTTTGCACACCTGCCATAGTGTTTTCCTTTGTTCAGAAATAGTTAAGAACCACTGGAGGGATGTTAGAAGAGACACTGTGACCCCAGTTTGGTCTGTAAAGCAACTACTCTGACAGCCATGTGGGATTAGACAGGGTTTATCTTGTAGACTGGGAGCCATTTAGCAGTATTACAGTAAGCTAGGGAAAGTGAAAGAGGCTCACTAAAATAGTGGTCCTGAGTTTATAGAGAAGTGACTAATAGCAGGAATCCTTGGAATTTAGAAGCACAGGGCTTACTGAATGCTGTAGGTGAGTAGGAGAGTCCAATCTAGCACAGTACCACTTTCAATAAAATAGGGAATAGAGAAAGAAGAGCTATTGGAAAAGCGCAAACCAAGATGATTAATGTGCAGTGAGGAACATTCTGAGTTTAAGGTGATTATAAGATATCTGGAATATGGTTGGATAGACAAGTTGGAAGTTGTTTCATGTTTGGGTAAGATGTAGGAATTATTAGTGTGTCAGAATTGATTAAAGGCAGTTGTAGATGAAGTTGTTCACTGAATACAAAATACGGAAAGAGAAAAGGGTCAAGTGGAGATTCATCATGTCACTCACATTAAGGAGTAGGAAGAGGAACCCATGGAAGAGAGGCAAGGAAGAACTACTGGTGTGAAGTGCTCTTTCAGGAAGCCAATCTGTGAAGAGGAAGGGCAGCGGGGCTCAAGAGGACATATGACTAGGTAGAGTCATTTTTTGTTGGCTTTCTTTTAGAGGGAACATGAAATGTTTGTATACAGTAAAAAGAACTTGCCGAGACAGAAAGCTTGAGCACCATGAGGGGTGGTGATGGTGAAGTAAGGTGGGAATGCATAAAGCTAAAGCACAAGAGGCATGATTAGAGTTGGAAAGCCAGAATGCTGTCTCTTCCTGAGAGGTGACCAGGATCAAGAATGGGTGTAGAGAAGCCAGGACTGTAGAGGGATGGGCTCAGCAAGTAACAAAAACCTTCTAGCAACAGAAAAATTCTGACTACAGGACAGAATTTTTCAGACGAACTGAGATGATTAATTACTAAATACAAACAGACATGCCAAATGGATTATTAACAAAATGAAATATCTTTTTTTTCTCTCTAATCTATGAGATGGGATATTTGGAAGCAATCCCAGTTAATGCGGTATGACTAAGATGTATAGGAAAAATGAATCATCTATTTCAAGTAATGAGCCATAGAGAAATGTTAGTAATGACGAAAAGGAAACTTACAACCAGATTGAGGAGGACAAACTGCTCTGCCAATTTCTGGATTTCTTTATTTTCAGCAAACACTTTCTTTAAAGCTATAATATAAAGAAAAATCATTAAGCATCCATCTTAGCATTGGTTAAAAAGCTTTGTTCTATTTTAAGTTAAATTGCATTTTATTTATTTATTGAATTGCATTTTAAATACAATATTCTACTTTGACCTTTTAGCAAATGATTAGTGAAGTAATATCTATGGCATTGACTACCTCTGCTTTTTATTCACTCATTCATCCATTCATTCATCCATTTATTTTTTCTCCAGCTCATATTTATTGAATGGCTGCCATGTGTTAAACACTGTGTTATACACTAGGGATAGTACAGTGGAAAAAAAAAAAAAAAAGCATGTGCGTTTTTCATAGAGCTCAAATACTTGTGTGGGAGACAAACCATAAACAAAGAAATAAGTAGATGATAATTTCAGGTAGAGATACGCACTTTGAAGAAAATTAAAGCAAAGGGTTTAAAAACTGTGAGCGATCCAGGCAGATCTTCCCGAGGGGCTAACACTGAAGTGAGGGAGTGATCCATTCTGGGCTAGGCCACTGGGCAGCGGAACTGCAAAGCAATAGCGTGAGGTGGGAATGAGCTCAGATGTGGGAGGAACAGCATGAAGGCCAGGCTGGAGAGGGTGAAGAAAGCAAGAGGAGAGTGGTAGGAAGGGAGAGATAGCCAGTGGCCTGATCCTGTCAGCCTCATAGCTTGTGGTCAGGAATCTGGATTTAATTCTGTGATAAGAAGCCACTTGAGCACGTGAGTGATAGTATCTGATTTACGTCTACCAGCCTCACTCTGGCTTCTGTGTGGACTTGGCTGTAGGGTGGCCAGTTAGGTGACTGTTAGGGTAGTCTAGACAAGATCTGATCTTGGCTTGCCTTCCTAAGGAGGCAATAGGAAGTGGTTGGATTTGGGCTCAGTGCAAAATGAAAGTGTAGAGCCCCTTGTTGAAGAATTACTAAGACTTTTAAGACAATGACAGCAGAGTTTAAACCAAGTGTGGGAACCTTCTAAGCTCAGGGCCCTGTGAGATGGCACAGGCTTCATGCCTGTGGATCTGGGGCTGGTTTAAGGGTATATTTTGAAGATAAAGCCAGTATTTGCTGGTGTATTGAATGTGGACTGTAAGAGAAATCAAGAAGTTGAAGATGAATCCTCAAGCTAGTTTTTCAAAATATGTACCAACAGTTATCACAAAACGTGGAGATATTTGAAGTCACTTTTAAATATGTTTTTACTATAGGAAATACTCGTTTTTCTAAATGCAACCGTGGTTCTAAAAATACAAACATGAGTGATCTAAACCCTGGGCCCTAAGGCTAAAAGCCTATAAAGGAAATAATATTTAGAAGAATAAATTACCTTGACTGTGTGGGCATTCATCCAAGTGATGAATAATCATCAAGGGTTTGTTGCTTTAAAAGACAAACAGAGATTAGACAAATTTTATTAAGACTTCACATATATCTAGATGTCACTAGGTGGTGCTCTTGAGAGCTTTGAGGGACCTCTGAGTAACCCTGATCTTTACCTTGTCTTGGATTTGTATAAAGCTTCTTCATATGTCTGAGTCCAGATGAGTTGGTCACCCCAACCTAGAATGAAATGAATCAGTATATTTGAAGCTTTTCTAAATTCACACCCAAAGCTGTTGTAAAGCAATGGTAAAGACTGGGATAATAGACCTGATACTAAAGAAGAAGAAACCCCCCTAGAGAAAGTAGAAATAATTATAAACAATGATAAATCTAGAAGGAACACAACCCAAAATAACCTGGCACCAGGTTAGCACCAGGTTTAAGCACCGAGAGAGAGGAAATCTTTTCCAATTAAGTAGCAGTTGGAAGCCAACAAGAAGCTGACTCCTACCTCTGGAGAGGGTCTGGGGCAGTTTGGGTCGAGAGTCCTTTGTGTCCTTTTTAGCTCCAGGTTTGACTGTGGTATCTCTGGCCAGAGTGTAGGAGAGGGCCACAAGGAGCAAGAATGCTGACACTGAAATTTTCTCCATGGCAACTCTAGTATGGAAAACCAACCAAAATCAGTAAACAAAAATGAACTAGCAGCCTTCAGGGTCTGCAGGTTGCCCCACAACGGTGGAATATACCAGAAACTGAGGCTCTGCTGAGACTGGACATATGAGATTGGAGTAAACAGCTCTGTTCCATGGGATTTTCCTAAGAATACAGGTGGTCTTTGACTTACAATCGAGTAATGTTCCAATAAACCCACTGTAAGCTGAAAATATTGTAAGTCAAAATACATTCAGAGTAGTCTCTCCTTTCCCAGGGTTTTACTTTCTGAGGTTTCAGCTATCCATGGTCAACTGCATCCAAAATAGGTGAGCACAGTGCAATAAGATATTTTGAGAGAGAGATCAAATTCACCTAACTTTTGTTATAAGATACTGTTGTAATTGTTCTATTATTAGCTCTTGTTAATCTCTTATTGTGCTTAATTTATAATTTTGACTTTATCATAGATATATATGTATAGGAAAAAACATAGCATATGTAGTGTTTGGTACTCATCTGTGGTTTCAGGCATCCACTGAGGGTCATGGACCATAACCCCCACAGATAATGGGGGAACTACTGTAATACAGCTAACCTAATGATCACCACAGCTGAACCTACCTTAAATGTGCTGAGAACACTCACATTAGCTTACGGTTGGGAAAAGACATCCAACACAAAGCCTATTTTATAGTAGTATTGAATATCTCAAGTAATTTTTATGAATACTGTATTGGAAGTAAAAACCAGAATGGTTATATGGATACTTGAAATACAGTTTCTACTGAATGTGTATTGCTTTTGTACCATCATAAAGTCAAAAAATTAAGTCAAACTACTGTAAGTTGGGACTGTCTATATATAGTATGGATAGCTGTCTATTGATCCACATAGATACAGACAAAAATATAAAGATCTCTATAGATATAGAGTTATCTATATAGATATACATCTATATAGAAATAATATAGTTATATATTAAGAAAATAGATGTATATACTCTAGTAGCTAAGGAAATTTACATTTACGTTTTTTGGAGACAAGGTCTCACTGTGTTGCCCAGGCTGGAGTGCAGTGGTACAACCTTGGCTCACTGCAACCTCCACCTTCTGGGTTCAAGTGATCCTCCCTCCTCAGCCTCCCAAGGAGCTAGGACTACAGGCACGTGCCCCCATACTTGGCTATGTTTTTGTATTTTTTAGTAGAGATGGACTTTTGTCATGTTGCCCAGGCTGGTCTCAAATTCCTGACCTCAAGTGATCCTCCTGCCTTGGCCTCTCAAAGTGCTGGGATTACAGGAGTGAGCCACCACACCTAGCAGATATCTTAGTTAAATTACTTTTTCTTTCTGGTATTCCACAGTTGATTCCCAGGAAAAGCTAAAGCCTATGAACAGGAAAATAAATGACCAGATAAGTTTAGTGAGTGAGGAGCGGGGGAGGGAGCAAAGTGAGTTGCTCTAGCAAGTCACTAAGGTTGTCCACAGGGCTGTAACATGGAAGGCTGGAGATTTGGGATTTTGATAAAACCAAACACTGAAAGTGCTAAAAAGGAAATGTGAAACCACAGCACCTAACTCTCGTATTGGTGAATGGTTTTGAATGAAGTCAAATAAACTCTGCAAGGAATGACTATTGTTAAGCGGGAAGTTTTTCATAATCTAATATCTTGAGTAGAAACCTTTGCTAAGCATTAACTGATTTTTTTTTTAAAGGTGTTGCTAAGTTACCAGATCAAAATGACATTTTGTATTTAACTGACCAATTATTAACTAATTCATAGTACATAAGCACAAAATGTCTTACTCAGAAAAGATGTAAGCAAAAATCAGGGATATACTGTGTTCATTTTCTATACCCATAAAGATGTGGAAATGCCAATAACTTTTGTCTTCTAGAGTTTTGCAAAAACAACCTAAGTGTACACTGTAAGTCAACAATTCTCAGCCTTCTTTGTATAAAGACTTCTTTTTAATGTTAAAAAAATCAAGAACTTTTACATGAGAATAATTATACTTTTAGAATACTGGTTGATTCAGAAACATATGGCAAATAACTTCTTTGAATCTATCAACAAACATTGGATTTTGTCCTTTATTTATAACGGCATCTATGTATATTCTAAAAAATAGTAAATTGATGGTAAAGCATTTTTATTTACTTAGCCCATTTACAGTTCTTGTTTTACAAGTAGTTATTAGGACCCTGCAATATCTCCAAAGGTTACAGGTTGGAACTATTGATATATTGCTTGTGTTTTACGGCAGGATGACTCAAGGAAGGCTAATATAACTCCTGCTGTACAAACATCCTGCTCTGGGGTGACTTTCTGAGATTCACTCCACTGAGTTTTTGTAATATGAATAGATTCTGCTCTGCAAATTTCCTGCATAAACCACCTCAAAACACAATTCCAACCATGGAAAATACTGATAATTTGGAGACACACAGACACGCACACATAGAGACACACACACACGCACACACACACACACAATGTGAAGCCAGCACTTTTTACTCGTCACCATATCCCTGTCTTCTCATCTTTAGCAAAGAATGAACTTGCAAGACATTTTAGTGTCCGTGTTTGTAAATGCTTCAGGAAAGCAACCAGCCGTCTCCTTTAACAGCCTATCCCATGAATTTAAAGATTGCAGAGGCAACAAGAATGTCTTTGCACCAAAAAGAGAAAGAAAACTGTTTTCTGATTTGCAATAATATATTCCAAGCGGACAATCCGGGCTGAGGTGTCATAGTGGAGATGCGTACGGGGCTTTGCTTTAGCCTGTGGGAAAGAAAGCTTTAGATGGTGACAGACGAAAATCCCTGGACCTTGTCCCATGCTTGAAAAATCCTAGGATTCACCTACTCTTGGAAATTTTGTTTCCCAAAGGAGAAAGCCTTTCTCTGAACTAACTCAGGAACGTCACACTGTGCCAGCTCTAGCCAAAGAAAGGCCCCAGTAAGCCTTTGGTGGAAATTCCATATTTCCCTTCCAAATTCTACTTCATTGCCCTTGGAAACTTGCAGTTCTCTGTTGCTTGATTGCCTACAACTTTATGTAGCAGAGGCCAAAATTCACTCCAGCAAGTGCCCATCTAAAGCTGCTGTCAGGAGCCTTACCTGGATTTCCTCACCCACCTGCCTTGTGTGAGCCGGCGGCTAGGATGCAGTCCAAGCTTCTGAGTGTGCCAGCACAGCTGAGTCTCTATTTATGCACCAGGGCACACCTCAATCCCACCCACTAGTGCTGCATTTACTTGTTGCTAACTCAGAAACGAACCTTCTTTTTCCCAAGTGATTATCTTCCCTGGGTTAAAGAGTTCCTTGTTTTTAAAAATAACATTGCAAAAGTAGGCTTTTCAGTATACATGTTTTTAACTATTTGTGAAGTGTATTGTTAAGAGGTTTTGAAACGATGGGCAGAGTGCCAAATCCAGGTAGACTTTGAATGAAGACATTTGATTTGCCTGAAGGCTGATTTGTCTTTTTGTGATTGGACGGAGTTTGTAGTTTGTAGATTTTTTTTTTTTTTTTTCTGCCCCGTGGGCAGATTGCCTTTATTTACTTGAAAACACACAAGAGATGATTCACAATTCTGATCCTCACAGTCACATAACCTGCCATACTCCATTATGATAAAAAATTATTTTCTACAATACTTCCCCACTCCTGTCAAAAAAATGCACCCTAACTTCTGCAGGTATGAAAAAAATACAAATCAAGTAACCCATATAATATTTCAAAACTGAGGAAGTATTGGAAAAAAAATAGCCTAATACTGGGAGCTTGTAATAATTACCTTGCCATTGAATGTGTGCAGCAACTTCCCTCCACAGAGTTCAAAGGTATTTTACAGATAATTTCTTACTTAAAGGCAAACTTTCCTGCTACGCAAGCAGGAAGCCATTTACTCCATTTTTTCAGACCTAAAAACTAAGATCTGCAACTAATTTTTTTTTCCCACTCAAGATTATTTAATTACTCCCTGAAGATTTTAAAACTGGAATTTAAATTTTCTGTCAGAAAATGTTAATCCTGTATTTTGTTCATGAAGTTGCGTGCAGTCTTTAAAATCTCAGAATGGAGAAAATTTTAACAACAGAAAGTTAACGAATGGGATGCAAGCCCTATATAGATGACTTTTTAAAATGAGTTAAGGTCATAATATTTCAAAAATATTTGCAAGTATGTATATTTTTCCAATAAATCCTTGAATTCTGTGGGCAAAATTGTGATTCTCCAAATACTGAATTTCCTTTCAATTCTAAATGAATTTACAGAAATAATTTCTTCAGGAGTTTGAAAACGATGATTTGAGCAAAATTCTTAAAACTAGCAGGCCCTTATATAGACCCTTGGAATGTTCAATTCCATTCCCTCATTTTACAGATGAATAAATGAATAGCAAAAAATTCCTAACTTTTTGAAGGTCTCACAACTAGTTTAGGGCAGAGTTGGGACCAAAGTCTATCAGTCCCTTATTCCCTGAAAGTAACAAGTAGATGGGATTTGGAGTCACAAGATTCCCATCTGAGTCCTGCACCTGGTGCGTGCTCATAGGAGGATCTGAGATCTCATTTAACATCCCCAAAACTTCCGCTTCTCCATCTATAATATGGGGATAATATTAACGTATGGGACCGTTTCGAATATTAAATGACTTAAGGAATATGAAATGTTTTGAATATTAGATGACTTAAGGAATATGAAATGTTTTGAGTATTAAATGACTTAAGGAATATGAAATGTTTTGAATATTAAATGACTTAGGGAATATGAAATGTTTTGAATATTAAATGACTTCGGGAATATGAAATGTTTTGAATATTAAATGACTTCAGGAATATTAGATGTTTTGAATGTTAAATGACTTCAGGAATATGAAATGTTTTGAATATTAAATGACCAGGAATATTAAATGTTTTGAATATTAAATGACTTCAGGAATATTAAGTGTTTTGAATATTAAATGACTTCAGGAATATTAAATGACTTCAGAAATATTAAATGTTTTGAATATTAAATGACTTTTCCCTGTGTTGCCACATGGTTTTTCCCTCTGTGCCTGTCTGTGTCATTTTTTTCCTTTTCTTATAAGGACACCAGTCATATTGTATTTGGGTCCAGCTAATGACCTACTTTGACTTAATTACCTCCTGGAAGACCCTATTCTGAAGTTTTGGGGATTAAGACTTCGACATATGAGTTTTTGGGGAACACAATCCAGCCCATAACATTTGATAAAAATAGCTAATGCATGCTGGCTTAATACCTAGGTGTTGGGTTGATCTGTGCAGCAAACCACAATGGCACACGTTTACAGATGTAACAAACCTACACATCCTACACAGGTACTCTGGAACTTAAAAACAAGTCTCTGATTTGTTATAATTAATTATAGTGATATAATTATTCTATACTCCTGTGCCTAATCTCATGTTAGGAAAAACCCAGAGTTTGTCATAGTGGCTGAGGGATGGCAAGGAGGAGGTAATTATTAGAACATATCCTACACATGCTATTGTGGCCATGGAATCTTTGGCATATCTGTCTTGGTGTGAGGTAACTAGGGTTCTGTAGATGGTACATATAGTACGCTTTGAGACAAGCAAAGGAGGTGTTTTTCTTTTATGCTATTAAACTTCATCACTTTTAACAGTGATGCCATGTGATCAGTCCTTCACGTTTGCCTGATATTGTAAAGATATGTTGCTCTCAGGTAGATATTTTGGATAATACCTGAGTAGGACTTCCTGAAGTAGGATTTGATAATTTGATATACAGGTCTAATGTTTAGTAAGTAAAACTAAGCTTGGTATCAGGGACCCTGACAATGGTTGTAATTAAGTGGATATTATACCTTTGTGTTTTAAACATTTATGTCATTATAAGTTTAGAGGCATTTATTCAAGCATATTTTATTTTACTTTTTAATTCAACTTTAATTTAGGGGGTCTATGTGCAGGTTTGTTATATGGGTATATTGCGTGATGCTAAGGTTTGGGGTATGTGATCCTGTCACCCAGGTAGTAAGCATAGCACCCAATAGGTGGTTTTTCAGCCCTTTCTTCCTTCTTTCCCTCTACACTTTTGGGGTCCTCCGCATCTATTGTTCCCATCTTTGTGCCCATGTGTACCTAATGTTTAACTACTACTAAGGGAGAACATGTGGTATTTGGTTTTCCATTTCTGCATTAATTTGATTAGGATAATGACCTCCAGCTGCATCCATATTCAAGCATATTTTAAAGTGGATTATATCCTATTTTTGAGTTAAATCAGGAGACTTATAACTGACTATTATTGTGTGTCTAGTATGCATGAGTAGTTGACTCTTGTGTCTCATTTATTCACTCATTCATTTATTTTCTTCACCAAGTATCATCAGTTCTGTTTATGTAGCAAATATTGTGCCAGGCATTAAAAATATAAAAATGAGAAAGTGATGGTCAGTTATTGAGGTAGCCAGACAATCATACATAGATAATTGCAATTTGGAGTGATGGGCAATGCTATGGGGAAAACACATAGCAGTTTACAACACTGTTTCTACTCTAAGGTTACTTATGATCTGATTGAAGAATTAAGATGGAACAACACTAAAAATCAGCCATTCACATGGGAATGGCATGCAACAAGAAACAAGTAAATAAGATAGACATCAGGTGTGATTATTTTTTTCAGAGACAGTAGAGATTGTGACCTACTAGAGTGCTCAACTTGATGGCAGAAAGCAAGACTTCCAAAAGAGATGGTGATATAGAATTTGCAAAATTTATTTGTGGGATATTTAAGGACCAGCCTAGTTGAAGTGAGAGCCATCTGGGTAGCTCATAGACAATAGGGTTGGAGAGATGCTTTGGGGCTATTAGCCTGGGCCTTTAATGCCATTCTGAGTTTAGACTTTACCCTCAAGAGGAAGAATGTGAGGGTTAAGAGGGCAAGCTGTAGATTCAGATTGGTTCGAGTTTGAATCAAGTTTCCTGACTATTATATACTTTACTAATCCTGGCAACTTACTTAACTTCTCTGTGTTTTAGTCATATCACTTGTAGGTGTTCCTATCCTCACTTTTTTACTATATAGGATCTGTGAAAGATTACATAAGATTATATATATACACACACATGCATATATATACACATAGTGCTTAGAATGGTACATAGCACATAATAAGCACCCAAAAATATAAGTTATTAATACAGAATGTATTACTTCTCTGTATTATGATCATTTAGGTCTCAGTCTATGACAGCAGAATCTTTGTTTGATTATCCTTTGATTATAGCTTATCACAAGGTTTAAATTTTTAACACATATTTATTGGGAAAATTAATTTGTCATTATAACAATCTCACCAGACTTCATTATTTTCTTAGAAAAAAGTAACAAGGCCCAGGTGAGTGGACGTAATTAGCCCAAAGCCGCAAAGCTGATGAGCAGAGAGAAGACCTAAAATTTTCCGTAATTGCTTGTAATTAATCCAGTATTTCTTTCAGTCCATCAGGCTGCCTTCTGATGTCAGGAAATAAAGACAAAAGCCTGTAGGTGCATATAATTCCACATTACTGAATTATTATGAGCTTTATGCAGAGGGAAGTGCAAATGACTTCTTGTACTCAAAGGGTTTGCCTCAAAGAAGACTTGTCAAAACTGCTGACCAAGTTGCTGAATAAATTCTCCCTAAACTCTAGCTTAGAGAAATAGACAAATAAAAATTCGTGTTTTGACAGAGGAAAACTTGGATACCATTTGAATTTATTTTAATTTCTGAATTGGACTTTTGTGCACAGAAATAATGGTTTATAGTTTCTGGAGTTTTAATTGCTATTCCGTAATGAAATTGTTAACAATAGTTCAAACTGTACTTATATATCTAATTCTCCTAAACTTTCTAAATGCCTAACAGAGCAGGTTTGCAAACATAATTACCAAAACCTTTCTAAGCATTTTAGCAACTCTTATAAACATTATACATAAAAATTACTGAATAATAATCCAGTTCTATTAGTTATTTGAATCTTGCTTCACAAATAATTATTTTGTACTTTTAAAATTAAAATCCAAATTATAAGCACAAGGCTCATATTTGCATTGTAAAAATATAAACTTCTTTTATATATTACAAACACTGAAATGACAAACACATAAAGTTTATTGCAATATTTTCAAAACTTAAAAGTCTTAGTACTATAGAGTATTGAGGGTTAGGTTTGAGTAAGCTTATCAGCTTTATTCTTTGCATTCTTTCCTGAGACTAGTGATGGAGGAGCAGATTTACTGCTTGGGTGGACGAGGGTTCCTGGGTCTAAAGTTTGGGACCATGATATGGGTGAAAGGCTGAGAACCAGTCACTGATATGTTAAACTTAATGTCGTGCAATTAGATGTGTTTCTTGCAGGAAAGTATAGAGCAAAAGGCCCAGCATACAACTTTGGTAATAATTGTCCATTTAGGAGTGAGGAAAAGAAATACTCGCAAAGCACGAAAAGTACAAAGTATGCGGACAGGCAGGATAGTGCCATAACCCTGGATCCAAGTCCAGTAGGAACTACAAATCTCAAGGCAACAACTGGTGCCAAATGCAGCGAGACTTCTAACTAGACACTAGGAGAATACACTGATTGTATAAAAATCAGTGGCCTTAAATGAAAATTCATGAAGTGTGCTTGGGTTGAAATAATGAAAAGCTAAGTGCTCTGGTGCAGTAGTGTATTACCTTTTGGGGTTATGAATGAGGTGATTATACTTCTCAATTTGCCCAGGGGAGCCTCAGTTTAAGCCGGTTGCTGGGTATAATAAATGAGAACGTCTACTTTCATTCTCAAAAGCATCATGATTTGGACAATAAGTTACATGATCTAGATGATGAAATCTATTGAATTTATCTGCAGGTGAGATACACGTGTATATGCGTATGCATAATTTTACAATTACTTCAGAGGGTTCACTTATATACTGAATCCAGTCCTAGGATCTCTTTGAGGGATTTATAAGTCCTCAAACATTTGCCCTTGTGTTCAAGTTTCTATGCTTAGCCTGCAGGTAAAATCCTGCAGGTTAAAAACTTTTGCTCTTGTGTTTAAGTTTCTATGCTTAGCCATTCTCAAGGAGCCCACGGCTCACAGCTTGAGATTTGGCAGGTAACCCTCCACACGTGTTTTACAGCATAATCTAATATTTCTTCCTGGTGAGCAGAAATTTTATACCCTGTACTAAGCTGGAAGGCATACTAGTCTCACAGCCATTCAAATATCTTGTTTCCCTGAATAAAGTCCCACAGCCTGAAATCCTTTTAGATCATGGTGGAGGTGTGCTTTGTAGAGAACGAGGAATGAAAAGTAATTTAAAATGTAATAACACCCAAAGTTATTAAGTGATTTCCCCATGAACTCTAATCTTTTAGAAGATGGATATTTATAAAGCAGACATTAAGATCTTTCTTTTAGAATTTGCAGTGAATAATCTCAGTCAATACTTAGAATTTTCCATCGAAATGATATGCTACTAATGAGGTTCAATAGGCTACAAACGGAGTGCACTAAAAACAAATTGGATTCAGCAACTACTTTCACCATACATGAAAGGGAGATTTTGTACAGATTAAGGCGACGTGTCCTTAGCAGTTTGAGTCTGACCCTAGAGTCAATATTGTTAGATGACAAATACACTCCTTCGGGTGGAGCACTGAATAAACAGAGATGCTGTCAGAAGATGTCATTCTTCCTTAAGCATGGAAGACTTTTAAAAAAAAAGTCTAATTCTACCTTGTAAGACAGCTTTACATTGACTAAATTCCATGAAATTTCTTCTGATTCTTTTTTTTTAACCTTATTCCTTCAAAAAGCTATTATATAGTTATAATCCAATGTAAACAGTTATCTTGTAGTCATGACTAGATCTAGAGTTTTCTATCTCATTATCTAGCCATCTGTGCACTGAAAAGGCAGGTGTTTCATAAGGAACGTTAGTAAATAAAAACCAACATATTATGGAAATAATAAGTGTATTACATATCAATATTAACTTGGTAAATATAACACATGGTATACTATATAGTGTAATATAATACTTCAGTTTATGAAGTTTTCTCTAACAGGCAAAAACCCCCAAATTTTAATATTTTAAATCCACAACAGAATACACACTGTATTATTAAATAGGCTCAAAAGAAAATATTATTATGCTTATATTTTTCTCGTCTTTCAAATAGTAATAAGTAACTTTCTAAGACCTCACATTCTGTGTGCATGTAATTGAATGTATTTCTAGGAAGGCCAAACTATTTTTTCTGTT